CACACACACACTGCACGCCAAGAAGCAGGCAAACGTTATCATTGCCTTCTTCCACTCTGCAAAGCCAAATTGTTGTAGGCAGGGCAGGATACGAACACAATGAAATGTGTATCCAAAGGAGGGTGACCAAGCTGGCCATTTATCCCTGGAAAAGAGATTATAGGCTATTCCCCAACAGACGCCCAGTCTTTGATATTATGCGTCAGGAAGGTAAATTCCGCTATACATGGGAGATGTTTTTCCATGCATACCTTTTGCTTTTCCATTATACAGTGGTGCCTTGCTAGACAGTTACCCCGCATGACAGTTTTTTCACTAGACATTGGCTTTTTGCAATTGCTATAGCGATTTGCAAAACAGTGATTCCTATGGGGGAATTTCACTGGGCAATGTTTGGTCCCTGCTTCGCAAACCGATTTTCGCTAGACTATGATTTTGACAGCTCCCTCTCCGCTCACAAAACAGGTGTTTTCGGGACCTAAGCTTCGCAAGACAGCGATTTAAACAGCTGGTCGCTGGTTCGCAACGTGGCTTTCCTATGGCCGATCTTTGCTAGACAACGACGATTCTTCCCCATTGGAACACATTAAACAGGTTTCAATGCATTCCAATGGGGAAATGCTTTTCGCTAGACAATGATTTCGCTAAACAGTGATTTCAGTGGAACAGATTATCATCGTCTAGCGAGGCACCACTGTATTTCTTCCTATAAAAAGGAAGAGCTGGCTGGACAGCTCAGTCGTTTAGGTCTCTGGCTGCAGAGCCAGAGGTTGGGCGTTCAATTCCCCACTTGTGCCTCCTGCCAGTAGAACCAGTCTGTGTAGCCCTGGGCAAGCTGCACATTCCCAGGTGTCCCCAGTGGAAGGGATCTACTTTTGAGTAGTCTCTGCCTGAAAAACCCTGAAAAGGGTTGCCGTTAAGTCAGAATTGACATGATGGCACAGGGTTATTTATTATAATTATTATAAAGAGTCAGACAGTGTCTTCCTATAGTCAAAGATACATCCAAGGAAGCCCAAAACATGCGAAGAAACCAGCTCAGCCTTCTGATACCTATTTTACAGATATCAAACCAAGGCTGAGTGATGACTCTTCTCCTATAGGTTGTAATACTGGAACTGCAAACAACAGACCAATAAGCTGCTGATTATAGTGCACAGCTATGTTGCCAGATAAAGAATGGCCCAGTGAGGGGATCATTGTGTTCAGAGTTATATTTGAAAGAAGCAAATCAGCAGACTATCTTCTGGATAAAGTGACACTGACTGCTTGTAAGTCCATCGAGTAAAACCCCAACCCCAGTCTAGGAACTGCACATGGGCAAACCTACCGTGATCTTGCTGGCTCGGTTGAGGGCCTCCACCCAGTCCTGAAGATCCCTTTGGTCATTGGCTTGCAAGACATAGCGCCGGGACAACGCATTAATAACTGCAGAGAGAGAGAGAGAAAATGATCAGCACCACAGTTTAGCAATGTGCAAAGGAAGGAATACAGCTGAACCCCAGAGTGATCTCGCAAGCTTCAGGAGGAAACGTTCCCCCTCATCGCCAGCCCACATCCCCAATCACAACATTGGAATCCTCCAGAGAAAAGTCCTACAAGTGTCTCAATCATCTGAGATGCAGAACTGAAGGCCTTGTTAGTGGCAACACCTGAGTTGTAGAATTGCTCACTAAGGATCTGGCAAGCTCTTTTTCCACTTCCTGCAGATTGCTAAAAATTACTGTTTTCTGGAGGGTGCATGTTATGTTCTATGTTTCCATTCCTGGTTTGGAAGACTTGTCCGAATGCAACTCAACGTTGTAAAGAGTAATCATTCAAACCACCCAACTGTACTACAAGAAAAGAAATCAGAGTGATTTCCTAGATCAGTGGTTCCTAACCGTGGGTAACTCAAGCATTCTTGGACTGCAACTCCCAGAAATCCTGGCCAGCATAACTGGTGGTGAAAGCTTCGTAGTCCAAGAACACCAGGGTTACCCAAAGTTGGGAAGCACTATCCTAGATGCTTGGGAAAAAATGTATTATTATTAGATCCACAAATTTACATGTGCCATTTGATGACTGCAAGCAACATCAAGAGATGACCTGTGAACATAAGCATGCTGTTGAAGATCAAAGCCACACGTATCATCTAAAGCTTCCTCATATGCATATCTTTCCAACTGAGTGGGTTCTCAAACCCCACTGCTGGTTTTCAAGCACACAGGATTCACTGGACCGATTTGTATGGGTGGGCCAGCCTTTCTTTTTCCCTCCACAAGTCACACTTACCAAAACAGAAAGGTGTCTTCGGCTTTTGTTTTGGGGTAGCCACACTGACCTGCAAGAGAAGGGTGGACAGAAATGAGATGCTAATGGTAGAGTAATTCTTTTAATTGTTGTTGAGATCCAGTACGTTGCCAACATTTTTCTGGAGCAAGTCTGTGTGGATGGCAGGGGGTCACTCAGCTGAAATCCTTCCCAGCATAGATTTTTCAAAGTGGTATCCATGTTAGTCTGTTTCAGCAAGAAAAAGGAGCAGGAGGAGGAGGAGGAGGAGGAGGAGGAGAAGAAGAAGAAGAAGAAGTAGTTCTAGTTTTCTGGTACTTTTATTGTGAGTTATATCCATGATATTGTGGTGTATATCTACACATTCCAGCATGCTCTTAGAGGCTTAAATAGAGATTAGGGCTTCTTGGCACACAGTGAATATCAAGAAGATGGTCTTCGCTACAGTCCTGTGCACAGCCCAACAAGTTGTGCTGTTTGGCAAAGCACTGACTCAGCACCACGGACTCTTTTCAATTAGCAGAAGTAATTGTTTCAACATTTCAAAGATAAATGCCTAGCCAGTGTGTACCGGCTGACAAGATGATTTGCATTAGCTAATTAGTCTTCCTACTGGCTTCTGCTGTTCATTACCTGTGTTAAAAGTGCTATTGTTATCTTCTGCGTCTCATGTCACTTACGTCTCCAAACCACAACCATAGAAACTGTGTATCACAGACCTGTGACCTAAATATTCTACTTCACGTGTATAAGAAAGTGGAACTGAGATCCACGAAGGGTCACAGTGAACTAAAGCCAAGAGTCTTCAGTTACAAAACTTTGGGGTTTGTTTTGGCTTGATTTGATTTTTTTTATTCACGCCTAACACAGAGAAAAGGCATGTCTCCTAAATTTCTGTCCATCCTGCAAGTATTAAAGACCCAGGTTAAAAAGAGTAATAATTAAAGAATAACCGGCAGTCCTAGGAGGAGAAACATAGCTGTGCAAAATCTAAGAAAGAACTAAGCCGGGCTATTTCTAAGATATAACCCGCAACTTGCCGTTCAGCAGGAATGATGTCTTGTTGGATCTATGGAGCCCAACTCCATAGGAAGATGTCCCACTGCTGATACATTTGCCCAGCTATTAGTCAGCTGATTTGAGCAGGAGATAACACTATAATTAAAATAGGCCATACAACGATGAGAAGATTAAGCTCCCTGGATTCACAGGACAACTAAATGAGCAAAAAGAGATGAGCTCAAACCAGCTCTTCTTCTTCCTCCTCCAGTTGCTGCTGTTTCTTTAACTTAGCATTTAATTCGGTGGATCTGGATCCGATTTGTTAGGTTTGGCACACGCCCCCTTCTTCCAGGAATATCTGGTTGGTATACATGGTTCCCCTGCCTTAAGTGACACAACCACCCTTGGAGGTAGGCAGTGTTAAAAGTCCACCCCAGCTGCAGGACTAACATGGGATTGCTTCCAGAGCTCATTGTACACCAAAAACATCCCAGGGGCATCGGGAGGCCACAATCCCTTTTTCCCAAGAGCAATGGGGTGGGAGCATGCCATAGGGAGAGCAGCTACCAGATGCCCGGTTCCTTCCATCTTGTATCAGGAACCTCCCCTTGCCAGAGAACTGCGCTAGCATGAGCCAACTCATTCCAGCCCTGCTCACCAGACAGAGAACTAGGGGCCGGTTGCACTGCCTCCATCACAGAAAGAATCCAGGCTGGAATGAGATGGAGGGAGCTGTTAAATATTGTCCTTCTGGAATTGTCCAAACAGATCTCCTCCAGGATTGGTGGGGGGATTTATTTTCTAGATGACAAGTTTGCACAAAAGCCACAAGCAAGATCATGTCCCACCCCCCTCCTCAGCAGTCTGTAACTCTGCCTTCTTCCCCCTCGGTTGGGTAAGGGCTTCCTTTTTCCTCTCAAGACTTCCCCCAGCTGAAGCTCGGGCCAAAAAAGGAGCTTATGAGTCTTCCCCCTGGCACGCTGGAAAACTGGACGCAGGTCAGCTCATGCGGTCATGGCAGGGCTTCGTCTCCAGCGATGGGCTGCTGAACCCTTTACTCTGCACGCTGTCCAGAAGACAGAAAGGATGCCTGGGGGCCGTATAAATAACAACCACCCAATCTAGGCTTTCCCCTGATTGTTATGTGCCGGTTTCATTTTTAAAAAGGGAGAAAATGCAGTAAGAGTAGAAAACCATAATAATAAGGGGGGGAAAACGACAGCACCCAACCCATGAGGACTAGAAGATTGAGAAAGACAATCAGAGTTAGTGATTTGCCTGGCAATCTTGACCCCACCCTGATCTTACCTTAGAAATGTAGGTCAGCTGCAAAGATCCAACAGGTTTTGCTCCTACAGCCAAATTCTGGAATACATCGAACAATCAGTCCATAAAAAGTCCAAAAAAGCTGAATTGTCTGTTTAGAAGCAGAGGTACTTATCCACGAGGATAATAAACTATCTTCCTCAATGAGTAGTTTCCCCAAGGCCTGGCTTGCTTTATTTATGATGCCTGTAACCACAGCTCACAAAGAACATGCTACATTTAACAAGTTAACCTTACAGCATTAAACAGGAAGAACATATAATCTTTCAAAAATAACTTTTCTGAAACTCACATTACGGGGTGAAAAACATTCCTTTTAAAACATTATTCTCCAGACACATCTGTCGGCTTGTGTGTTTGATGGTAAAGGGACCATTTTAATGTTAACGCATTAAATCTGATGTGTTATTTCCAAGCTCCGTCTGCACTCATCCCTTAGTCCAGGGCACTGTGTAAACGATGCACTTCACTTTTAACCCCAAGGAGCTCAGGGTGCTGCAAAACAATCAGCCTCACAACCATCCTGCAAGGTAGATTAAACTGAGAGAGAATGTCCAGCCCTACATTGCCCGTTACATTTCTCAGCCGAACTGGGGTGGGGGGTGAGGCAGGCATACAGATTGCATCAGGCCACACATAGTACAACTCCCTGCCACAAGATAGAATAATAATGATGATAATCCTGTGCTGTCAATTCAATTCTGACTTTTGAGGAGCTTTTTCAGGGTTTTCCAGGTAGCAAACATGAAAGTAATTCATCATTCCCTGCTTCTGGGGGCATCTTGGGGCTGTGCAGCTTGCCCAAAGCCACCCAGGCTGGTCCTTTCTGCAATGCACAGTAGGCGGAACGGAGCTCCCAGCTACTGGCTTTGCTGCCTGATGCCTAAAGCTATCCAGCAAGATAGATATGCTGATTGTTTCAAAGGGAGAGTGGATGTATTCGTGGAGGTTAGGGGACATCAACTCAGCCTGGTTCGTCTTATGCTTTCATGACAGCTGTTTTGCCCCAAAGCATGGAACTATGGTTGTTTCTTAAACTTTGTTTTTCTTCCGGAGAGATACGAGAGTTGCTAAAACTAAGCCACGCACCATTTGTGTGACCCATGAAGCAGATCGCGTCAACAGCTGCCCACAGCCAGCAACCTACCAGAAGCAGAACAAACTTCCGTGCCACACAAAACCCTACGAAAATGGGACGCTGTGGAGAGCCTGGCCAGTCCTAGTCCACGGCTGGTGAGCTGCCATCAGGTTGACTTAACACAAATAAGCCATGATTCTGGGCCTTGTTGAAAAACATGGGCCAGAACTGGGTGGTTTTGGCGGTCTCACAGTATATGAAAGCACCACCTTTGTGGCCCTCAAGGGCCCTGACAAGGTAGTGTCAGTTGGGAAGGAGATAAAAACATCTGTACAAATGCTCCCCAATGTAGGTGGTGGTGCCAAGACCTAGCTTTTTTCCACATTGTGGAAAAACCATCCTAGAAAACAAGATGGCGGATGGGGTAGGGAAGAAGGATCAAATTACGTCTTCTCCAACTTCTCTCTCACCCCATCAGGCATGGAAGCACCAGCCCCAGCTGCTACAGAAGCACGGCGCCAGTTGTGGCGAGCAGGTAGCTTGAGTTCAAATGCAAACTAAAACAGACACGGTCCCAGAGGCACATCTACACTGAGGTAATTCCCGCTTAATTCAATGAGGTTGACCACAAGATACACACCATGGGTCACCGTGCCCCTGAAAACAGAAAAATATCAATCAAAACAGGAAGTGGCTGGGATGTCCACTTCCAATCTCTTGCGACGAAGGGTACTGTTTTAATTGTGTTGACGGAGATGGTTCAAAACTACTGCTGCGTTGTGCTTTTTGGTGGTTTGGGGGAGGCAACTACAACAGTAGCTGGGGTCACTTTGATGGGGCTATTTTACCCACCCCTACCATGTTGTGACAAGTGCAATAGGTCTGTCAACTACCACAATAATTTATTCCAAATGGCCTAATTCTAAATATCCCTTGATATATAAGTTTAACTCTTAGCACGTTAAAATTTTCACACTGCCTGTTTAGATGGTGCTGTGCAAAAGTTTTTTTATAATAGGGGAGCAGTCGGAAGCCAGGAAAATACAAGAAATTCCTGGCTAGATACAGAACAAGTTTCAGGTCATAACAGGGACAACCAACAACAGCAGTTCCCATTTAGGAAATACCAGATACCAGCAGTTTATACAGTTTTTAAAAATTATTTCTGCAGAACAGAATTTTGAAATTCTGGATTTTTATGCATTTGGAGCATATCTACAATTAGATAAATAAAGCTTGTAAATGAGGCAAGCTCATGTTGTCTGAAATAATTTTTCTACATGGGAAAAAGCAGAACGAATGTGAGAAGAACACCAAGAGAAAGAAAGACTTTACCACAAGTGTGAACCAGAGACTTAATCTCATCCTCTGGAGACAGAGGAAGCATAAGAAGAAGAAGGCATCCTTCAGTCCCAAAAGACTATGGTAACGTGCTCTGTATGGAGGACTTCATGTTGTCTGGAGTAATTTTTCTACATGGGAAAAAGCAGAACAAATGTGAGAAGGAGGTCAAGAGAAAGAAAGATTTTACCACAAATGTGAACCAGAGGCTTAATCTCATCCTCTGGAGACAGAGGAAGCATTTAAACAATGAAACCACTCATAGCTTGATATGCAGAGGGACCCTGACCCTGATTTTGCTGCTTTTGGGACTGCCTCTTTGCCTCGGCCCGCTGGGCAATTTGAACAATGAAACAAATCATAGCTTGATATGCAGAGGGACCCTGACGTGATTGATATGGTTATATGGTCACACACTGAAATTAACCCTATTAGGGAAAAATGTCAGCTGTGATGAAGCCCCCTAAACCAAACTACCAAGGAGTCTTATAAACAACAGGCTGAGGACTTTGTTTGAGCATCATACATTTGGAAGATCTCATTAACTACATTTGTGCCAAGTTTAACATTTCATTCTGGACACACTAGTCCTTAGTGAAACCTGAACGCAGCACAGACATTACTACTGAGACCTTCGTAACATCTGCACCCTATTTTACAGCTGTTGCAAGCTCTACACTCCGGGATGTCCTTCCTTTCCCCCCATCCCCTACCCTTTTCTCCTTTAAGGTTTGACTGAAAGGAGAACCATGAGAAACCTTAACGTTTGCTCTAAACTTTGTGACCTTCTAGTTGATCCTTGTTGCTATGTGCTGTCAAGTCACTTCTTGGTTACGGTGATCCTTATAGACTGAGGTACTAAAATGGTTTGCTATTGTGACACTCCCTAGTGAGTTTCCATGGCCAAGGAGAGATATGAGCCCAGGTTTCTAAGTCCTAGGCCCCTGCTCTATCCACTCTACCACACTGGCTCTTAGTCATAATGTATGGCACCTTAATAAAGGTCAGTGAGTTCCCATGGCCAAGGAGAGATCTGAGCCCAGGTCTTCTAAGTCCTAGTCCCTCGCTCTATCCACTCTGCCACACTGGCTCTCAGTCATAATGTATGGCACCTTAATAAAGGTACTGCCCACCTATGGATCCTAGACTGTTTTCATGGCCCAAATCAGCTTTTTTTACTCGTTCCTATTTGCAGGCTGGGCTCGTGGTAGCAGTTCCTTTGCCCGTGGGGATTTCCCAGAGAAGAGGATTTAGTGCAGTTTCCAAGCTCCTCAGACCAAGGACCGTTATGATATGAGTCACACCAGCAAAGTTCTTGGTCAGATTTCCTCTTGGGCCTCATGAGCCTGAGTTTCATAATGGCCTAGAGAAGAAGTAAGGGGCCATCGTGACTCCCCGGGAGCCAGCAACTAGAGTAGAGATGCTGCCTCAGACCTCTGTCAGGTGACTCTGGACCACATGGTAGGAGCCGAGGCTGCTGAAGGCTCAGGTTATAGACAGTACCAGCCCCTCTGATGATCATAGTGATAATCATCTTAGAACTGTAGAGCTGGAAGCGACCCTATGGATAATCAAGTCCAGACCCTGTCAAGGAGGTCCGGGGGGGAATCGAACTCCATATCCTCTGGCTCTGCAGCCAGAGACCTAAACCACTGAGCTCTCCAGCTGCTCTGATAGGGTAATAGGCAACAGTAAGCTTCTGTACTGGATGGACATGATAACAATACTAGAAGCTTAGCCTTTTGCCCTGGTCCACCCAAGAGAGCAAAATTGCCGGCTGATTAAGAGTGCAATCAAATAGCTGCAAAAACGTATGACTTTTCACATTGGAAAGTGTCATTTCCTAGGGGTGATCTCCATCAAAGCAACCCTTTGGACTGTCAGGGAACGGCTCAAGCCGGGACCCCAAAAGCAGAAGCTCTACAGCTGGACCAAAAGAAAAAAGAAAAAAAAAGTCCAGCTTGGGCACTGATCGGGGTCGGGCTGGTGCGTGTTTCCCTATACGTCGTGCGATCGCTGGGAAACAGATCACATCAAACTGCTCCACCAGCAGTCCAAACTGTGATCTGTTTCCCCCATGCGGTCACCATCTTAGTCCATAATCCAAATTCAAGTTCTTCTCTCCAGTTCTGGCAATGGAGGACATGGATTGATTCTTCCCCATTTCCAAGTTCTGGATCAGGGTCTGCCGTAATACCTCCATGTGGACCAGTCTGCTTTCTGGAAACCTAAAGACAAACAAACGAAGTGCCCCTCCCCCCTGGCTCGGAGGCCAAGCATGAACCAGAGAGGAGAAACTCACCTGGGGATTGTCCATGTACCACAGAAGGCTGTTGGCCTGGGTATCCAGGATGAAATATCTCCGGAGGAACTTGCCACACACCTCGCGGTCCTCAACATCTAGAAACCCACAGATTCGGTTCTGACGATCCACATAAGGCATTCCGGGCTCCTTCTAGCATCCCCCTGAAAAATCACAAACATGTACAGGTGAGACCTCAGTCTGCCTCATGCAAAAATCCAGGCCCCTCTGGGCCACACATTTTGTGACCCGATGGATACCAAACCCAGAACGTGGCCTGCATAAAGCCAAAGCATTGCAGAGTTTTGAATTTCAGTTTCAATTCCTTTTGGCTACATAGTAAAAGTACAGAGACTCAAAGAGGAGAACAGCTACCAAGTTCTCCAGATCGTTCACTCCTTTTTGGGAAGGACCTTTCTGGATTGGGGTGACCGTTAGTCTATCCAGCAACAACCTATGGTTCCTTCTCACCTCTAAATTCGAAGACAGCTTCTCCTCTTCGCTGGGTGTTTCATTTCGGTTGGAAGCAGCGTGATTTTTGTTTGTTGCTGATCTATCCACAACTGTAAGTAATGAAACGTCTTTATTCTTTCTCCTACAAATGTTTCAGAGTTACTCAGGCTTTAAGTGCCAGTTAATGACAAAGGGGTGGACTATCTGGGGAAATGTGTAGCTATTCTCCTCCGTGAGTCTCTGTACTTCTACTGCATATGAAAAGGGAATTTAAGCAGAAATTCAGGACAAGGTATAAGACATAACTTTTAAAAGCTCTGTCTCTTAATTGGTTCCCTGCAGGAGGAACAATAAGACAGAAGAGAGGTTTTGGACCTAGCCCTAAATATTTGTACACAGAAGCAAACTATAAGCAAATGTTGGTTGGTTAATAAGAAGAAGAGGAAGCGTTCAGCTCTGGAAAAACTATGCTGCTGCTTCCTTCGTCTTTGTGTGTGTATGTGCGCGTGCACACACTGTGGGTTCAAATGAGACAAGACAACTTTTGTGGAAGGGACCAAAGAGCTTTCTAAAATGTATTCGCGAAGGCTTTCACGGCCGGGATCTAATGGTTGTTCTGGGTTTTTCGGGCTCTTTGGCCGTGTTCTGAAGGGTGTTCTTCCTATCGTTTCGCCAGTCTCTGTGGCCAGCATCTTCAGAGGACAACACTCTGTGCTCTGGTGTACGTAGTTGGCTTGGGAGTGCACCAGCAATCATTACGTCAGACTGCAAAAGGAAGCCATTGAAATCCACAAGCACCAGCAGAACTTCAACAAAAAAGAGGAAAGTGTGAAGCTCAACAAAACTTGGCTCCCAGCTCTCAAAAATACAGCATGCAAAAGGTCAATGAATTCTACCCAGCCACAAGGACAGGGGATCACTACACACAAAAGACCAGCTAATGACATCCATCAACCACAGGAACAGATAATCTCTTCTCCTTAGCACAACAATATACCCACAACAAGACATGCTAATCACCCATCTACAGAAAAAGACAAAAGCCTATCTCACAGCCATAAATACGGCACTCCTAAGCCAAATATGTACACCAGAGCACAGAGTGCTGTCCTCTGAAGATGCTGGCCACAGAGACTGGTGAAACGTTAGGAAGAACAACCTTCAGAACACGGCCAAAGAGCCCACAACAACCAGCTTTCTAAAAGCAAATCACTGCACACAGGACCCCCCAAGCATCATCTCAGCTTCTTGGCATAAAAGCAGATCACTGCACACAGGATCCCCCCAAGCATCATCTCAGCTTCTTGGCACAGAAATATGTTTCTACCAGTAAAAAAAAAAATGACAAGATTTTTCATATATTCATGAATCCCATGAAACTTCTTCATGTTCCCCAGAAGATTACCCACTCCCCTTCATTTGGGAACTCTCCCACATTGTTTCTGCTGTTCTTTTTAAATAGTTTTTTAAAAAATATAACACAGAATCTTGAGTTCCACCTGGATGGTATAACATTATAATTCAAGAATTCCTGCAATGAAGACAACAAGAGACCTTTGGGTAGTGTGGGCAGCAAATAAGTTAAACAAACGAACAATGAGGAGGAGGGTAAATGTGCTTTAAAAGGAAGAAATAGCTGCATAACTTACAAACTAATTAGGAAAAGGCTCATGAATAGCTAACTAGTTTAGTTTGTAAATGATCGAATAAGGAGCCCTTGGCCATCCTTTCCTAGCATTCTGAACCTGCTACCTGAGGTGGGTGCCTCAGGTGGTTTGTAAATTATCGAATAAGGAGCCCTTGGCCGTCCTTTCCTAGCACTCCGAACCTGCTACCTGAGGTGGGTGCCTCAGGCCACAACAATTTTAGTGTTTTATGGTATGATTATGACTGAAATCAGGAGAAGCATCCTCTGAGGAACAAAAGCATTTTCTGACATCTATGGGGAGGGGAGCAGCATTGTATATTGGTCGGAGTGAATGAATTGAGGCAGGGCACACCCATCTTTTAATTCTTATTCATCAGCCTTAGGGCAATCATTTTCTCTCAGGCTAGCTTACCTTCCAGGGTTATTCACAAGGACAGGGTGAAGGAACCCACCCATCTTCTGCCTCAAAGTTCTGTGTTCCCAAGACAAAGAGCAAAATATAATATATGAAAGAGAAATAAAAGTAATGGAAACACATGCTAGCCCTTAGAAGTGTTCATAATGCTCACATGCTTTTCATCTCTTTGGAACACTTACTCCTCACCCCACACTCAAAACATGTAGAAAGTTCTTATGATTATTTTTTTGTTATATATGAAGTGGAGGAGAAGTATCCTGGGAGCAAGAGAGTTGCATTGAGGCCAGTTAATAAATTCATGAAGATAAAAGGTTCAAACTGGGAATATTCTGATTACGAGGTCCGCTTAATCCACTCTTAGGGCCTCACTAGGCCACACGCTGATTCCGCCTCTAGAAACAACGCTCCATTGAGACAAAAAATGGTCTGTTTATTTTTAACATGAAATTGCCCCTTTCTGCACTTCTCAGATTAGCTTGCTTATTTTTTGTAATTGCTAAACGGGGAGACTGCAATGTTTGCTCTTTTGACATGCCAACCATGCGGCACTGAACAATTTGCATGCCTACAGGAGCAACATTGTAAGAGCAGGATGACACAATCCATCTGTCCTGATGTGAGATTTTACCCACAGCCAAGGTTAGAAGGTCTCAAGTGTAATACTCAAGCACAGGATGGGTATTAAAACCCTATTTTATTTTAATGTAAACCCTGTCCAGAAACTCAACAGGATTTTGCAAACAAGTTTAATAAGAAAGAGTTTTAATGAACTCTTAAGACAAATAGGTTTATTTTGGAATGAACTTTCATAGATGCTAATTCACTTATAGGCACAGAGCAGAAACCTTGGGGTTTCCAGTAGACAGGGAAGGGGAACGGAGCACAGAAACAATTCGTTCGTTCGTTTAGTCGTTTAGTCATGTCCGACTCTTCGTGACCCCATGGACCAGAGCACGCCAGGCCCTCCTGTCTTCCACTGCCTCCCGGAGTTGTGCCAAATTCATGTTGGTTGCTTCGCAGACACTGTCCAGCCATCTCATCCTCGGTCGTCCCCTTCTCCTCTTGCCTTCACAC